TTAACATTACTTGGATCTCTTGGAGAAAAAAAAGAAAAAGAAAAAGTCATTGAGATGGTTCATTTGTTGATACCACGTGGCTTATGATGGTTCAACAATCAGCCTACAAATCTGACCAAGGTTCCTCCAGCGATTCCCTGTATTCATGGGCCACAGTATTCACTGGCCAACAAAAAGCAAATGAAGCTTTTTCCACATTCATGTTCAAAACCAAGTTGGTCTGAGTTCATATTAGTGTTGTTTCAGAATGTCTCTTTCTCAATAAATACACGTGAAATCCTCTGTAACAGTAAACCTGAATGTAAAATCAACCTCCTCCTTAAGACAGAACTAAGGATTAGGAATAACGGCCAAGAGTAACGAGATAGGAAGAGATAGGATGAATTATAGCTCCTGGTTTTCCCGCATCAGCACCACTTTCACTTTTGTACAGTAAGGATTTTTTTTTCCTTTGGGGAAATCGAAGCAGCCATAAAATTTTCTAGAGTTTAGCACCTGGGCAGCCAGATTAAACTACCTGAAATTCTACTTAGCTGAAACAGAGATAGATAAAAAGTAAAAAAGAGAGAGAGAGAGAGAGAGAGAAATAGTACACACCAAGGACAAAGAAACAGGAATAAAATGAAAAGAGGAACAAAGATGTGGGGCAGGTACTAAAATGTGCATGAGAATTTTATTATTAAACCACACTAATTTTAAAAGCATGCTAGTTTTATTCTTTACTTTAAAAGTCATTATATCCACTGCAAATAAACCCCGAGATTAGTGTTGTCCTAAAATAACCCGTATTTCCTTCCATAGAGAAGTGGGTAATTAAATGATGATCTATCATGTTAGGTTGAACCACATGAAATTTCCCACATTCAACCTGTATTTTCCAGCTTTACTGAGATATAATTGACAAACAAAATTATATATACTTAAAGTATACAATGTGTTAATTTGACCTACACATTGTGAAATGATTACTACACTTAGATCAATCAACATATCCAGCACCTCACATAGTTAATGTGTGTGTTTGTGTGTTAAGAATGCTTAAGATCTATTCTCAGCAAATTTCAAGGATACATGACAGTATTATTAACTGTAGTCGCTATGCTGAACATAAGAACTTACTCATCCTATAAATGAAAGTTTGTAGCCTGGCTCTAACATTTCCCCATCTGCCCCACCTCGCAGCCCCCGGCAACCCACCATTCTACTCTTGACCATTTTTGACCTACTGACATAGCAAATTCTCTTAGTTCAACCTAATATCATGGAATACTTTCCCAACACTAGGAAGAATGAGGTAGATGTATACACGCCATTAGGGAAATGATCATGTTATAGCTCCAAACAAGACACAGCATGTGTACGGAATGTTCCCGTTTGTACTTTTTGAAAGAAACATATGTATATTCATAGACATTTTCTGGAAGCCCACCAAGAAAAATGTCAACAATTGCCTCTGAGATGGGAGACTACAAGGTCTGGAGGAAGAGGGAGATTACTTGTCCCTGGATACCCTCCCATCACTGAATGTCCTCTCACATTGTTAAATATCTTATTATATGTATGTATTACTTGTTTCAATTAAAGAAAAACCTGGAGGGGCGCCTGGGTGGCGCAGTCGGTTGAGCGTCCGACTTCAGCCAGGTCACGATCTCGCGGTCCGTGAGTTCGAGCCCCGCGTCGGGCTCTGGGCTGATGGCTCGGAGCCTGGAGCCTGTTTCCGATTCTGTGTCTCCCTCTCTCTCTGCCCCTCCCCCGTTCATGCTCTGTCTCTTTCTGTCCCAAAAATAAATAAACGTTGAAAAAAAAAAAAATAAAGAAAAACCTGGAGACTTTCCAAGTGCCACAATTAATTTGAGATTATTCAAATTATTTAAAACATTAACCAGTATTTACAACAAAGAACACTTTGAATAAAGTAATTACTTTAGTGGCCTTTTTGACCCCAAACCTAAACTAACCAAACAGCTTTATGCTCATTAAGGCTCTTAAAGGAAACTAAAATAAGTACTCTGTTTTCACAATAATATCCATATATATGAAGCGTTATATGCAAGTGTATAATATATACATTATTCATTTAAGTTATTCATTTAAGAAATATTTTTTTGATTTCTAGGTACAACTCACTCTGCTGTAGGCCTTCTGTATATCTACGTACAAATGTTTCATAAAGAGACAGCATATATATGCATACACATGAATATATGTGTATATGTGCATAGGGATGTGTACATGGACCACACACACCATCCTGGGCTGCTATTCCTCCAGGATCAAAGATACCACTAATAACCATAACCTGTCAGCTCTAATGGTCCCTTGATGCATCAATCGTATGTATGAGCAAGAACGGCTTTCCGTCTTGAAAACCACCAGGCCTTGGGCTAGTCCTGGCCTCCTTTTCCTCCAGACTGTCCCATCTTGCATATCTGTGGAGGTAATCAAGCAAGTATAGTCTTTTTCTAAAAGATTTTTCCCTTAACTCTTAGCTGGGTCATAACTGAAGACTGGGCACCACTATTCAATTTAGCAGTTCTCATTCTATGAATCCCCTCACTGCACTAGCTCTCTTCCGTGAGAATCAGTACTGTGTGATAAAGAGATACAACTAATGAAATCTGTACCACATATGAACAGTCTGGATTGCCTGTGGGGGCAGGGAGAGAAGTTGAGGCTCACTGGTGTCAAGAGTTTTAGGCCTGGATCTCAGGTGTTCAGATACAAAAAGGCTGATGAACTCACATGCATTTGTATGAGTTAGTATAAAATACAGAATTTCTGAAATTTAAGAAATGTTTCTTGGGAAATTTAAGAAATATTTCATTTAGTGATCACTATGTATAATCATGAGAAAAAAATATGTGCGAAATATTTTTATTAGAAAGTTAAATGGAAACCCAGTAATAAGTATGCTTTTTGAAATTATTCTTAGTCTCGAACACATGCTTTACCCCCAATCACAGAGAATATAACATTTGAAGAGTATAATCTTAGCTATTACCATGAATTCACGACACCTACAAATTTTAGTTTTACTCCCCCCCCCCAAATTTTTAATTAACTTTACTCAACACAAGTTAGAGCCATAAATTTTCTTTCAAACAGTATAAATTCACCAGCTAATTTTAATATAAGTTTGCATGGAATTTTAACCACTTCATATGAATCTATAAAATATACCATTTTTTAAACCTGCTGAGTTGCCATTAGTAACACGGTTTTATGAACTTTTTTTTTTTAAACAAGATTTAAAATGTTAAAGGCACTGCTAGAAAGTCCCTATCTTCTTTAGGCTTAATCTTCTAAAAATACATGAAACTCCATATCCTTAGGTTATCATAAATTCTATAAAGAATATCACTATTAAAATGAATTACAAGATGTGCAGATTTAAAAAAATGACCAAAGTGGGGCACCTGGGTGGCTCAGTCGGTTAAGCATCTGACTTGAGCTTAGGTCATGATCTCCTGGTTGGGAGTTCTAGCCCCCCATGGGGCTCTGTGCTGACAGCTCAGAGCCTGGAGCCTGCTTGGGATTCTGTGTCTCCCTCTCTCCCTCTCTCTACTCCTCCCGCACTCATGCTTTCTCTCTCTGTCTCTCAAAAATAAATGAACATTAAAAAAAAAAAATGACCGAAGCAATCTTTGACTCTTTGCTAAGTGCATCTTGCTAACACTTGTGTGTGCTTACACATACTTATTTTAGAAAATAAGGAGGCAGGCTAATAAAAGCACGATTCCACAGACCTACAATAAAAGTTCTATTCTCATATAGGGGTCCACTGACCTTAGGAAACAAATTCTCATAAAAATAACTACATAGTGAATTAACTTTTGCAAATTTATTTTTTTAATGTTTTATTTATTTTTGAGAGAGAGACACAGAGAGTGAGCAGGGGAGGGGCAGAGAGAGAGAGGCACAGAATCCAAGCAGGCTCCAGGCTTTGAACTGTCAGCACAGAGCCCCATGCGGGGCTAGAACTCAGGAACCACAAGATCAGGACCTGAGCCCAGTCAGAAGCTTAACCAACTGAGCCACCAGGCACCCTGCAAATTTATTTTTAAAGAGAGCACACAACTCCCGTGATTTGATTGAGTTCTCTTTTCAAATACCTCATTAAAATCCAACCAGGGATAATCGTTAAAGTAAGCCTTTTAAAGTACAATGAAAACTTAAAAATATAAATAATCCTTCAGCGATAAGCATTTGCTATGTATATGCTTAAGATATAATTAAAACAAATCAACTTTGTTGATTTGTCAAGAGTCAAAAGCACCTGCTACATAAACAAGAGTTAACACAACATACTAAGTCCACATAACACAAAGAGGTTAATTTTCATTAAGTTAACCATCGCTGGTAAGATCTGAACTCTGCACTTAGCAGGAACCCACGACTCAAAAGCCTGGCTCGCTGTTGTGTCGCGCAGGGTGTGTTTAACCTCGAACATCATTTACACAGGCAGCGAGCCTCGGCTTCTGCCTTCCATAGGGCAGCGGGAGGCAAGGGGGGTGTCCGCTGTCACCTCCTCATACAACCTTTCGGAGTGGGCCTGGGCCCGCGGGAAGGAAAGGTGGGGGGCTTCTTGCAACTCAGGCTGGTCCGCCTGCACTGGGCTCCCTACGCAATGCACATACTCCACCCAACCATTGCACGCAGGAAAAAAAATAAAACAGTCCTTTTAAGTTCCCTGAGTGGGAACTCTCAAGAGCGCTTCAGCATTTTCCCACGCTCCCGCCGAGCCGCTGGTTCCCTCTCCTCCACGTCGGCCGCCGAGCTCCCCGGGAGCCCACCCTCGCGGCCTCTCCCGCGGAGCCCGGGAATCCCTTCCTGCCGCGCGGCTGTCCAGCTCCCGCGGGCCCCGCCCCCGGGCCAGGCCCCGCCCTCACCTTGTGGCCCACGTTCCCGGGATCGCCGGCGCGCTCCGCGCGCTCCGGGCGCCCTCGCTCCTTTTCCCCGCCCCGCAGCTTCCCGCCGTCCGCGCTCCCCTTAGACCTCACCTTGGTCCGGATCTGCCCCGAGGTGGACACTTTGCGGATCAGTTTCTGGGGTCCCTCTTGCTCCGCTTCGCTGTCGGAAGAATCGTCTCCGGGCCCCGCCGAGGCACCGGCGGGGGCGACCGCGGCGCCGGCCCCGGCGGCCGCTCCTCCCGCGGCGCCCGGAGGGTGGTGCTGGCCGCCGGCCCCGGCCATCCTCTCCGATTCCTGCGGGGACACAGCACCGCCCTGCGGGGGCGGCGGCAGCGGTCAGTGGGTGCGCTCGGTCCGAGCCGGGCCCAGAGCCCCGCGCCCGGCTGCAGCCGCCATCTTCCGCTCCCCCAGCCGCCCCCGCGGGGAAAGAGTCGCGCGGGATCAGACGCCCTCCCGGCGGCCGCCCTCCAGGCCCCTCTGCCGGGCTCTGGCCAAAGCGGCGACCGCAGTGGGGCACGGGGGACGCGGACCCCGGCCCGCCTGGGACCCCTGCTCACCCAGCCTCGAGACGTTACAGGGTTCCTGACCCAGAATACGACTTGGCGCGGGTAGAGAGGATGGGAGTGACAGAGGGATAGGGGCAACCTACCACCTCTTGTGGGGTCTGGGCTCCCCAGGATGGACGGGAGGGCGGGGGTCGGGGGACAAGAAATCTCCGCAGCCACCCTCCACAGGCCGGGCAGTGGCGATGCTCCCTCCCTCCCTCGGTTCACGGGCCGCTGGGGCAAGAACGGCCCTAGGAGTAGAAGGGGAACCTACAGCTTCCTCCCGACTCCCTTGGGTACACCCTGCCACCCCCTAGACCTATAATCTCTCTCGAGTCTTGGGCCTTACCACACGGTTCCCACTGAATAAAAGTCCCTTCCGCCCCCTAGATGGATGGGCGCTGCCCCTTGTCAGTCTCACGACCCCCCAGCGCATCTCTGATGAACCATACCTCTCCCGCCTCTGCCTTGGGGTTCGGGTCCTTTCAGCTCTCCCGACCGCGGTGTTTAGTTTCTGGCCCACCCCCACCTCCATCCGGCGCACACGGAAGAGAAGAGCATTTTCCGGGAGGTTCCACTCCGCTCTGAGAACTTTTCGTTCAGAAAGAGCGATCCCTTTGGCTAACAGGAAACTGGGAAGGGCGTGGAGAGAGCGCAGAAACAGGAGAGCACACGCAGCCCAAGACCACAGAATGCAAAATAAATGTCTAAACTGAAGCGCTAAGCGAGACTGCCTGGAAGGAAACAATGCACTGAAGCCATGTGAACGCCAGTGCCCGAGCACGAAAACATTGGAGGTCCTGGGAGAGCCACTCCCTAACCCGGACCAGAGCAGGAGGAAACGGGATCAGCAGGCTGCAGCCACAGCTCACAACTCGTCCCAAGTGAGCTGGTTTCGCGGGCACTGGGGAATAGCAGCCTTGCGGCGCGTTCTGCATGCTCAGCGTCAAAGAACCCTTGTAGGTGTGGGAGGACTTGGGGGAGAATATACTAAAATGACAGATTCCTCGTCATCCACAGAGAACTCTAAACTTAGCTGTATTTTTAAGTAGGGCAAAAGTCCCCGCCAGACTGTGGAGTCTCTTCACACTTCAGTAAAGCATTTAATCTCTTAAACGTGTTCAAGTCCTTCAGTACCCATTCCTATTTTTTCGGTTGACATGGCCTTCTACACTTTCAGTTGACATGACCTTTAAGAGTCCTCCAAACTAGCATTCTGTTGGGGTTTTGTTTTGTTTTCTGGGTTTTTTTAGTTGAAATCTTCCAGTAATTTGGTTGCTATGTCAAAACTAATTTGCTATGTCAAAACTAACTAATAGACTAATATGTCTATTGGGGTTTTGTTTTGTTTTTTGGGTTATTTTAGTTGAAATCTTCCAGTAATTTGATTGCTATGTCAAAACAGTTCTAAGAGGTTATAAATTACAATATTCAATCCCAATACTGTATATCCACACTGTTCGTTAAAAGGTAAAATGTGATGGTTTGAATCTTCCAAGATAGGAGATTGATGCCTTGAAATACTAACTGATGGAAGCTACTTCTCTAGCTTCAGTTGTCTTCTTTTTTTTTTTTTTTTTAATTTGTTTTAACGTTTATTTATTTATTTATTTATTTATTTTGGGGGGGGGACAGAGAGAGACAGAGCATGAACGGGGGAGGGGCAGAGAGAGAGAGAGGGAGACACAGAATCGGAAACAGGCTCCAGGCTCTGAGCCATCAGCCCAGAGCCTGACGCGGGGCTCGAACTCACGGACCGCGAGATCGTGACCTGGCTGAAGTCGGACGCTTAACCGACTGCGCCACCCAGGCGCCCCTCAGTTGTCTTCTTTAGGAAGGGAAGGAGCTAGGCAAAATAAACTTGGAGCCCTTCTGGTTTGTAGATATGTAATTCTATATCTACAAAGAGTATTTTGTCTTGAAGGGAATGCTTTAAGAGAAAAAGTGATCAAAATAATGGTCTTTAGCTCAACCTAATTGTTTGGTCAGTGAGGAGTCCAAAGGTTTGAAAATGTAGCCAAGAACACCTAGTAAAGGGCCTTTTGAAGGAATAAACCTAGCTCAGACTCTTCCTTTAGTGTTAAGTGAGGCCCAAAATCATGAGCTGGGGCCAAAGTCAAAACCATGTGATTAGCTATTCTAATGTTCTACTCACTTTACTGCACCAACTTTTGTTATACAAAAGTTAGTCAATTATGTTTTTATTCATACTTTAGGCTTTCAAGTTTTGTATAGTAACATTTTCCTGAATCCAGGCTATTAAACTGACACTATTTTCACACCTGTGCCCATTCTGTGGTCTGAATTAGAGATTCAATACATTTCTCATTCTCATTCAAACACTGGTTGCTTATAGATATCTTAAGAGTTTCATGTGCAAGAGCTGGGCAATTAATACCTCAAAGTAAAGGTATTTATTACTCCATAAAAATTTACCATCAGTTATCCCTGCTCTTCAAACACTCCTGTAACAAGTTCTAAAACTTGGTGGTGACTTTGAAAGCACAGCCAGTCTTAGCCTACTCAGGCTAAATAAATTATCCCTGCTCGACAGTTTATAGGACACTCAGAGTGAAAATACCGTGTAGGCAAACAAAGGAATGTCACTTCATTTCCCACAAAAGGCAACTCATGAAAACCCTCTTTTCTTCTGAGATTGTTTCAAGTAATCCCTCATGTAAGGTACCCAATCCATTAGATTTTTCTCAGGTCTTATCCATAAATTAGAACTTCCCAGAATGAATATCCAATCCTTATATCATATACCTGCAATGCACTTCACTGCCCTTCAAAATATAATAGCAATGTCAAGAGCTCCATATTTTCAACCATTTTAATGTAGCTCAAAATGACAGCTGAAACAAATTTCAAATATGTAGTATATTGCATTATTTCTTTGATTGACAAGATTCCCTTGACTTTTTCCTTACTTGGTGTTTTCAGATAATTTCTTAGATGTGTCTTACATATTTCTTTTATTATTGTTACTTTGAAATCTTTGTTTGGAACATAACATATCACAAACACACTATTAAAAACTTGGACATAAGCCATGTAGACACTGCATTCAGGATGAAAGGGAAATAGAAGCTACCACTAAACTGGGTTTCTACTTTATAGGGCTTCCTGCCCCATTTAAAGAAATAAAAATTATTACACTCAAGATGTATAAATCACAGCCAATTCTCATTCTGATAACAAGTTTATGAATATTAACATATTCTTACTGATAGATATTTTTAATTATATTCTTCTTATTAAGCATTACTTATAAACAAGAGTTTAATATCCACTTGCAACTTTTAAATCCCATATATTCTGTGCTTTTATGTTAAACATTATATCACAAATACATAGAACTCTACCTTTATATACTGAAGAACCCAAGTTGGCACTTTCAAACAGTCACGTCCTAGGATGCACATTCCTAATCAATGGAAACCATGCAAAAAGAACACTGCTGGCTGAATAAGTACAGGCCTGCTTCCATTCAAACTTTCCATAATATACTGTTACATATTTGGAACTTAACATTCAAAACTTTACTCCATTAAAATGTCCTTGGTTGTTACCTGAGTGAAAAAGATTTCCTATTAATCATGATATAACTTCATGTACCAATGGTCATCCCTGTGCCTAGGGCAAAACCCACTGTCATCTAGACCTAACGCATAAATACGCTTATAGCCTCTCGTTTACGTTTTTGCCCCTTTTCCTTTGGAACTCTTACTTTTCTAATTTTCCATTAGTTTTGAACAGTTTCATCAGAGCCAAGTAGACAAAAACCACACAAAAATAAAAACAAATTTTAGTAAGTAAAATGTACCCTAGGATTCTAGTATCACTGTCTAAGGACTACTTTGTAAATACTCCCACAATTTTTAAGTTTTGGCTAGAATTCAAACTACCCATCCCCTCACCCCCACCCCAGGATATCATCTATGATACTTGGCTAAGTATCTTCCCACCCATCTATTCCCACCACTGAAATATTTTCGTACTGATTAGAAATTTAGGTAATGCCTCTATTTCCACTGATTTGATTGCATTCTAAAGCTAGCATTAAAGAAAATACACAGAAACCTGAATGTTAACATTTATCTTCTTTCAGGTCCAATGCCCTGGCTGGAGGAATGATAAGGCTGTTTATTTAAATGCCCTCACTTAACTAAATAATCTCACTTTATCTCCAAATATGAAAAATGTCATGAAGTCCAGTAACTGACTCTCAACTCCAGACATGGGTACATTGCAGGCCAGAAGTTCTGTTCTCTTTACTATTATTCAGCATCAGTACCTGAGATTATGTCTACTCTTTTGAGTACATCCATGTAGAATCATGGAATCATATCATCATGTGTTAGGTTTCATCAAAAAAAAGAATGAGGAGAGTAAATCCTTATAGGTATGCTATTATGCACAGTAAGGAAGAATTCAGGGTCTGTGTAATGTGAACATTTCCTATTCAATATTAAATGTTCCTATTATAAATGAGTATACTTTTATGGTAAAGTATTAAAGTTGCCTATATTTGCAATCAAACAGCAGATCTTCAATAACTGCCAAATGGACTCCTAGTCAAAACAGACGTTCCTTAGTCCAAGGTCTTTGAGGATCCACAGATTGGGCTTCAGGAACTCTGGTTTGCTTGAAATATTATTATTGGTTTTATATGGCATGTTGCATAGGTACATCGTGGGGAGAGACTCTACAGCTTTGGTGAGATTCTTAAGTGGATCACCCAAGAGACACTGAAGAATCCCTGATTTTGAGGAATCTTGTGTCTTTCAATATGTATTTAGATTCAGCTGATATTTCCTCCCTTAGATCCAAAGGTCTGAAATAATTAAAATTTAAGTATTCTTTTTTCCCTAACTTATCACCCCTTTTTCTCCTATACATCACTTTTCAGAAATTTGGGTAACATTTTTTTTTTAAAAGAACTTAAATGAGAATTCCTCTTAGACTTTCATACATGTATGCCCACAGGTTTTCAAATAAAATCACTTAAGTATCATTTTGTGCCACACATGTAAGACCTCTGAAGATTTTTTTTTTTTTTTGGACTATCTGAATATCAACTACTAACATATGAAACAAGATATTCTGTTAAGAATGCATGCTTTGTGAGAATATAAGGATTAATGTCTGTGCTAACTGCTATATCCAACAGTCCCGGGACATAGTAGGTGCTGGATAAAATATCTGCTGAGTAAATAAAAGGGGCTTCAGTGTTTAAAGAAAAAAAACCCAATTTTTTAAGGACAGTTCTGCAGTCTGGATAAAGTGTCATGGTTCATTCGTACATTCCTATTAGGGCTCTAGTTTTAAAGGCTAATACATGAGCGTTTTCATTTTTTGTCACTTTAAGTAAAGCAACATTAGAAGTTTTTCTCTACTTTTCTAGGCACAAAGTAGTTCTGCCATCAGTACCCTAGAGCAAAATGAACTTAAAAGGGTACTTTTCAATGTGATTGGTGTTGGCTTACAGCATCCAGGTTCAAAAGATACTTCATATAGGAAAGTTTAAAAGTAAAAAAGTAACAAAATCAGGTCAGTAAGTTTAGTTCTCAATGGTCTTTGATTTAAACTTCAAAACTGAACTGTAGTTTTAGTTTCAGGAATAATTTAATCCCCAGTGATAACCACAGAAGAAATACGAGCAGATGGGCCAACCTAAGGACATGTTCAAATTTACAAAAGCAAAGACAGCTGCAGATACAGATGGATCAGAGTCCAAGGACACTTCTGAAAGGTCGGGAAACAAGAGGCAGAGAAACGTATTTGGGCAAAGGAGCTGAGGGTGTAACATACTCAGAAAAGAAAAAGGAAAACCAAGCCTGGCACCTGACCTAGAAGCTCTTAAC